TACCGTAATTAAAAAACCACCTGCAACTCCTTACGTCAACTCACCGAATTGTTTTTCCCCAATCCCTCAACGTAGTCTAAAGCTTTATGGACTTAGATTCCTCATATAGTCATAGTGAATAATTTTTCTAAAACAAAGAGTTGCTGGAACAAAATGTCTGTCTCACGAGTCGATCGAGCAATTATACTTGATTACTAACAACTAATCGAGACACATCGTGCGAGTTGAAAAAGGTGCTTGCATAATTCCTCCCAATAACCTAATCTGCCAAATCCCCATTGTGACAGGTGTGGAAATAACTGAACGAACCATTTCCATAATGATCCTGATGTGTTTGTCGATTAGAGGGAACCAGAAGGTAAAATGCTGACTTTTTTGAAAAGGCTCATTGTTCGGGAAGCCCACTCCCACCTTGGCCTCTCCCCCATCTAATAAGGCTCACGCCATCTCATCGTCAGCGCCACGTCTGCATTTATAGTCGACGAAGCTCGAAGGCAGTCTCATAGCAGTTAACCTCCAAGCCTAAAATATCCTGTTTCTTAGGTTAGTCAGTTTAATAGAAAGGTCGTAACGCCCTCGAGCCGTCTTAAATTAGTGACTAGGGCTTTTTTCAATCTATTTACCATAACTATATCATCGAGAAAATCCACTTTATGATACTAGGGGGCGTTCCTTGAAGTCGCATGGACAGCATTGATGAAGTGACGAAAGGACGTCTTTGCTTGGAAGGAACTAAGTGTCACGTGTTCCCTCGGAGCAACTTGTACATGGAACAGTGAGGGACTGTGAACGCTCTGGAAACTTTCCTAAAGGGACCCGGATAATTGCAGTCATCCATAGAGCGACTTGAAAGTTTTATTTACCAGATTCTGATGAAGATGTGTTCGCGTCATTCGTCAGACTGGAATAATTAAATAAATGGCGTAGGTTGATTTTATGTCACATGAGATGAAAGTATGCTATTTAAGGTAGCATGTGATTATTGGACTCTGCTCAAGCTTCTCAATACTCCAAAACCAGGAATCAAATGGAAAAGCATAAAACTGCTTTCCCATCAAGTACCTCATTAACTTTTTGCAGGATACCATCTAAGAGAAAACAAGCAAATCAAACTTTTCCTTATTATTCCCATCTCATAGTTGAACTGAATGGAAACGACTGCGGAAAATTTTGCGCAGGGTAGTTTCAGGGATGTCTGCAAGTGAAACTGAGTTATCGTCGTTTTTTTCCACTGAGCAGTCTAAAAAATGAAATTTTAGAAGTGTGGCGTTGCCTTGGGTACAGGTGATCACAAGATTTTCAAGTTTCAGCTTTTTTGGGATGATTTTTCAGAAATTCCGGTACTTGAACGTGGGAGCAAAACAGATTTCTTAGGCTGACTACCGTGTACCTATAGGAGTATGGTATCTCGGGGCATCAACGACCGACGTAGACTCATGGAGTTCCTAACAGCTTTGCGAAGTACATCGTAGTCAGAGTTTTCTGGCTAACAAAATACCACCATGTGATACTGGAGAGCAAAGAATAAGCTCGAAAAATGAAAGAAGCCAGGGATCTTCATGAATTATACTCCCCAACAGAAGCAGATTGGAGCTGAGCCAAGACGTACCGCTTCTTCACACGTAATGGTCAAACAACAGCAAAGGCAGCAGGCCAGGGATAGATTCCTGTGCTGCTCCCACAGGAAATTAATGCACATTCTGCAAGAGGAAATGGAATCTGTTGCTAAGATATTTGGAAAAGTACTTAGAGCCACAAAACCTCAAAGAACAGAAAGCTATTTCAACCATCTGACGTATTTTTCAGACGACACGATTTTTTCGAGGACTTTTTTTGACTTCACCTGCTGAATGAGCACTGTTTCCAGATTCAGTAATTCGTAAGAAAAACTCGTCCAGCTCCTTATTTTCCTTAACTAAACCCAGAATGAAGCCCAAATATAAGTTTGCATTCCAAGTGGATGCCACAAAACAGATGATCCAATCGTTTATTCAGTCAAAAACGGCACTTCGAAACTTTTTTGGAAGATTATTGCACTATCCATGATTCGCATTCAGTTGTCACAACTACGATCTTGATTAGGATACGTCATAGAGAGTTCCATCGTTCCCACATCCATCCAATCTGTTGGCCTTCCTCTATGAATGAAGCGCTTTGGCACATCGACGGTGATTCGTTTCTGGCATGGCTGAAAGATAACACAGACAGTGGATCCGTCAGAGGTTGGACGTGGACGGAAACGTTTAGCTTCTCTCTAATGGGCTGTATATCCCTCTATACGCTTTCGAACATCGCTTATTTCAACCTCAACTTGAGCTAGCGCCAAGCTGAACTCCATTGCTCGTGATAGCGTTGGAGGATTGGGAGAGCCCATCTGGATTTTCCTAATAAGGACTTCAACCTGTTCAGAAAATTTTCAAAAAAAAACACTGAAGCTGAATATCGCGTGCTAAAGAAACGCTCGAAAACTGACTCTTATTCCATCCTCACAGTCATGATAAATGTAGAGTACTGGTTCGATGTCGGTCAATTCACGAGTCGTACCAGTTAGGGCAAACCGGCCATCCTTGTCGGTAAAATTCTCATCCAATAAATCGTCACTGTCTCCGGGATCTTAAAGCGTCACTCATCAGTTTCGTTTCCTAGCCTACTCGGAAAAGTGGAAAAATGACACAAATCATAAACTTAGTCGAATTGAAGTTATTTTTGGAGCCTAAGAAATAAAATTTTGTTAAGTCTACGACGAAGGAAAAGGTAAAAGTGTACGGAACTGGTCGGAAAAACGCAGAATCGAGCTCCTCGTTCTGGCAACTGGATTCAACGCCAATCATTTATGGCATAGACTTCTGGTCTTTGGTGGGTCAGTCAGTTAGTACTGAGTTAGGTGAGTCCTTTCAGTCTACTTGGTTGCCTTCTAAAGTGCTCAGCTTGACCATGGTAAGAATAGTGCTGAATAGGTTGGTGAAATGAGGTTGAATTGATAGAAAGGTGAAAAACAGAGAGCTCTATGATGGAATCTTTGAACTCATAGGTAGCTACTGTTTCTAATACTCCACACGTTCCCCGAATTGTTTTACCCACATGCATATCAAGGACCTTTCAGGAAGAAGACGGGATGGGGCCTTACTGTTCTCTGACCGTCCCCAACAAGTTGTCACAGACATTTCACGCTTAATTACCGTATTTCAGCGGCACATCAAAATAGTTCCGAACTAAGAGGGAGTATGAACATATTTACTGTAACTTACTCCTGTCCAAATCGTAAATTTTCACTTTGGCATTTCTCAGGGGTATTCCTCCACACATAAGCCGTCCTTTGACGGCTACCCCCTGTTTACGAAATGCAAAGCTGAATCCTATTAGCGCGCAGAGAAGAAGCTTCGTAAGAAAATGCATTATCTGTAATACTGATAAGAGCCAAGGGTTTTTCGAAGGTTATTTATGGTTGCAGATTGCACAAAATCGATTAAACCATCGATTGAGCAGTATCGACAAACGATCAACGTTAACATCAAAATAACAAGCCAGATCTAAAAATTTATTGATCAGTGAAAAAACGATGTGAAAATAGTCTTTTACACTATCACCTGGGCCACTTTTCAAGAGAAGGACTGCATAGAAGGCATGACATTAGCAGTACTGCACAAGAATGTACATATCGTAACAACTGCATATAAGGATTATGAAGTGAAGCACAACTCCGTAAGGGAAATCTTCCATCCTTCAAGATCACCATGGCTCGATTCTGTCTTCAGGGCTATCGAAGGTATCGAGCGGTTCGGGAGTGGTGCGATGGCGAGCAGCTGATCTGAAGAACACCTAAGATTACCTGAGAACCGAAAGCATAACTTTGAAACAAAACAGTATCCAGGCAGTGCATGCGGGAAAGGCTATCCTGTACAGCCGTTACTTCCCACTTTTTTTTNTTTTTTTTCAAGTTTCACTTGTTTTAAAGCATCATTCTGGGAGACGCAGTGTATGCATGCAACATGAAGGGCTATGGGAAGAACGAGACAGTTCCGCCCTTTTTGTTCTGCTTTTGCTTTGGAATAATTAGTTGATCAATCGGAGCGAACTGTTTTATGTATTCAGTAGACACCATACCTGTGTGCCCTATGACGATGTCTTCTTCTTCTTCTTCTGGTAATCTGCTCGACTCTTTCCTCGCTATCATTGATATGAGTTTCCAAGTTGAAAACTCCCAGATCAAACCATTTCTACAAAGTCAACAGTTGCTCAAAGTCAAAGTGATTCCAAAAGCGGAAATAGACATTTTGCTCCACTTCAACAAGCTACATTTCTTAAGGAGGTTCAGGACCTCCGGTTCTATCAAAAATGTCTGAGGCCCTCAAAATTACCGTGAGGACATTGTCACGATTTCTTCAAAACTCTATATGGTTTTCGTAGACGCACCTTTGGTGGGTCTGCATCTTCGATGTAGCTTAGTGGAAGGCGAAACTTCAACATTCGACGTCCAGGCTGGAAGAGCGAAACTTATGACACAAAACTACTGTAGTTACAAGAAAAGCAGAAGAAACACATTTTCAACACCTGCTTTCAGATAATCTCAAGTCATACGGCNAATGGGGCTTATTCGGCAACCTATTTTAATCATAACTGAAGCTTCTTAGTAAGGTGCAGTACGAGAGCGACAAAAATGAGTAAAGATGGAGGTGGATTTCGTAATAAGCTATGCTGCAAGTGATTCTGCTGCGAGATACTTGGGAGTGTACAGTACCTATCAGGTCCTAGTTAGAATGTACAATAATTGAAAAAGGTTGTGTCCTGAGCAGAATGACCCACGTTCTTTGCGTCATCACAATCATGGTGTATAGTCATCACAGGCTGCCAGCCGTTTCTCAAAGTTCCATGAGCAACCAAATCGAAATTCCCGTCATTGTCGGAATGTGTTTGATCCATGAGTTTATCCTTGGTACCCTCAACTGAAATGCATCTTAAATTCTCTGGTAAGCATATCTCCACCGTAACCTGATTGTGAGTCTCTGCAGGACCACCTGGAAATCTTTTTTAGAAGGACGTCCTAGTAAATTACTGGTAAAAAACCTATCATTTAAAGAAAACCGCATTCTTTCTGACCTCTACTTGAGTCCCACAATCGCAGCAGAATCTGACCAGCTGGATATTTTCCACACTTCAAATTTCCTTTCACAGCTATCGATCGGCTCGAAACGCTGACGATCAGGAGTGAAGTCGCACATAAAACTTTCCACAACATTTCTAAATTTCTCACGATTTCTGAATTGGTGTCTGAGAAGCAGAAAATGAGTCTATTTTTTCACAAAATAAACTCAAAAACCACATGGTCAGAATGGGGCATTCCGTTTTTGGGTGCATGATCAATATCCATTTTTTAAACACACAGATTGGTGGAACAATTCGTACTTTGGAACAAGGCCTACCAGGGGACCAAAAATGCATGGCGTGATGATTCTAGAGCGATTTGTGGTGAGAAAGTAGGGTGAATAGGTAAAGGATCAATAACCGTGGTCCACAGAAGACGCGAACACGAGCGTAGAAACTGATAGCAGTGAAATCTGAAGCAGTTTCCACTGAGAGTAGGGAAGCAGCCCTATCAAACTTAGTTGTACCCTTGTTTCTTGGTATTTCCCCTGAGCAGGGATTAGGAAATAACAGCAAAGAAATGCTGGAAAAATGAAAAGGATTATCCTGGCTTTTTCCCAAGAGAAGAAGAGAGAGCTCTACTAAGCAGCTTGAATAGTGGAAGCAGAGATAGCTGAAAAATGGTTGGAAATGGAATATGGCAAATCTCAACTGCAATCAAATAAGCAAACATAAATTTCAGGGTAGCCCGCTCGCTAGACGTGATAGTGCAAGCATCATATCTATCAGACGCTTATCAGTTACCATGTTATTGATAGTTTACGTAAACACCTGATCATTCTGGAGGTTCATTTCACATCATGATGAGCAGCTCGTCGGGTTCAAAAAAGGTTGAGTCTCTTTTGTGAACAGCTGTGTTGCTTCTTCCGACAAACACAAAATAGTCAAGGGCCGAGGTTGTTTTGGGCAGGTGAGTGAGGCTACCTAGAACCTGCAAAACGTTCCTCATCTGTTCACATCCCTTCCGCCACTCGAAGTTGCATCAACCAGTCATCAATTGAAAATGTCGACGGGAATAGAGACCTACGTCCCATTCTTAAAATCACCTAGCTTCTGTCGTGAATGGAAAAAAAAGTTTCTCTACTGGAGATCCGACTTTGGTAGAGGACCGAATTCTTATCCTTCTGACTAAAATGCCTTTCATTCAGACCGGAGGGAATGAAACAGAGGAACTTATCGCGACCACAAACTTTCGATTTGAAAAACACCCTCTCAATGTAAGTTACGCACTTGTTACTGAGAGTTCATAGTTAAACATTATTGTTCACTAAAAACTTACATCAGCGAGTTATGAATGATAAATCAGCGACGAAATCGAAGCAGGCGACATACTGAGAAATCCTCGAACACTTCCCATAACCTGAAATGGAATCTTCAGCTCAGAAAAAAGAACAACTCAAAGCTTGTAGCCCGAAAATTTCACCTACCCAATGGTTTCGATGCAGATGATCGGACGAGTTGGTTAGGTGGTAATAGGCTCACTCCCATAGATCTGGCTTTGGCTTCGAAATCTGGAAATCCGAAACAAAGTAGTACAATTATCAAGAATGATAAAACTCGTTGAGATCATACATATGTTCATGGCAGGGTAGAGTGTTGGGGTGGGGCGCAGGTCCACGACAAAACTTGGGATCATCTATTAGGTTCTGAAGTTGTAATCAGGGGTCATATGCGGCTCTTAATCTCTTCCCATCTACACGTTGGTGCTGCAGGTAGATCAGCAAACACAATGATGACGGGCGTGTACCAGAGATCCCATTGAGATCGCTTAGCGACGCTAGAATATAAGTTGCCGCAGTTCTTGCAATTTTTTAAGGGGCCGATGACCTTATTACTAGGTGGCTCTGGAGGGTGGAAGAAGTAACTCCTGGTTGTTTTCCGAGTGATGAAGATATTTTGTCTTCCATCTCTGTGTTATGGAACTATTCGAGTTCAATGTCACCATGGAATTTAGGAGAATGACTTGCGTGAAATGCACCGAGATCTTGTCAAATGCTGCATTTGCACTGAAAGGGAACTCGAGGAGCAAGAAAAATTAAGAACCCAACAATTGAACGAGATAAATCACGTGAGGCTTCATTATCAGGAGGAACATGTTGAAGCTTATAGTTCTTCGCTTTGATATCACCTCGTCAATCAACCTCGGGAAATCCAAACCGATAGTCTTTCTAGTGGTTGATTGGTTCCATGGAAGAACATGGGAGTTCGCCCAAAAGATTCAATACATATTATTGTGATCGATAGAAAAGACTAGCAGTTGTAAATGGGTGTGCAAGGACAACTTCGGTTAAACTGTCGGGAAGGCAATGTCGTGGGAGTTCGCCACCCTGGGAGCATATGGTTTATCCTTGCTAAGGGACTGCTCTGAATTGAACCAAGTCAGTGAACAGCTTCAACATGATTTCAGTTCTAGATTACTGTAGCGCAGTTCTCCATAGCAACTGTTGCTTTTCCTCGGAGGACCCTCCCTTGACTGACCGCTACGATACACGAGATCACTACAGTGTATGTGATGTGTCGGTTGGTTGCTACAGTTCCTAGAATGTTTAGCTTTCCGCCCATATCAGTGAACTCACTGACCATGTCGCCAAAGCACGATTGAGAGAGACGGAACTCACTGAAAGAGTGGCAAGATGGGTGGAATATCTGAGAGAAGAAAAAGAGAAGGTAGGTGACAGAAAGGCTGTTCACAGACACATAAGTTTCCTAAAATGATTTCTGCGATATTTAGATGCTCAAACGGGGGAACTCCCTATACGCTACTGGGACGCTTTCAGCAATCGTTTCCGACGACATTGAATACAATATCAGCATGCTCATGAAAATGAGAGAAAGAGTTGACAAGAAACTCCTAGAAATCAAGCAAAGAAGGAAGGAACATAAGGTTTGTCAATTCTGGCAACATCCTTAATTTTGTTTGAAAACTCCTTTGAAGGGCTACGCGAAAGGGGGGGGGGGCTCATTTCTTTTCAATTCACCTGACCTTTTTCTGAACACGCTCAAAGTTTTGTTCGAAAGGCGACTCCGAGGACCTCCTTGTAAAATTTAAAAAAGGAGATACCCTTTGTGTGGGCTGTCTAGAGTATCCAGATCCGAGTTTAAAGCATAGACCAACTATGTCTTAATACGAGGCTCGGTTGAAAGACTCAAGCATTAACTTCTATTAGAAGCTCGTTCTGTCCGGACGGATCACCGACCATCTGTCTTTTCGAAAAAAAGGATTGATCCTCGTCTTAAACGACTTTTTCTTACTATGTTTTAGGCCAACGGCCGCCGACATTATTGAATCTGTTCACTTTTAGTACCAATTAAAAGAAATGAAAAACGAAATGCTACTTATGCATCATCAGTTGGTAGAATGGGACAAGAAATACGATGAGATCTCTGATATCACAAAGCGAATGAATGTCAGTCGAAAACAGCTGCAAGATCGAATCAAAGAACAGCAACAAAAAGAAACAGCTGCCAAAGTCAGTCAATTCTTTTTCATTAAAACCACGAAAATCCAAGAACTTCTCGTGGAACTTTGAATAAATTCAATTTAACTGTGAAATTTCGTTTTCTTTACGTC